TAGAGACAGGGTTTCACCATGTTAGCCAGGATGGTCTCAATCTCCTGACCTCGTGATCCACCCGCCTCGGCCTCCCAAAGTGCTGGGATTAGAAGCGTGAGCCACCACGCCCGGCCTTCCCTCAGACTTTGAATACAGTCATATTACTCTCTGGAAGAGAAGTATATGTATTTTTTTTTATATGCAGTATGATTTAGTTTAATGTATTAATAATACACTTATGCAAACTCACCAAAGTATTCCCAGTAGTTAGTAAATTCCTAATTCAAATCAAGTAATACAGTTCTCTGAGAGGCTAGCATCTTCATATCTTCCATCTTTTAAATGTAATTGATACTTTTACTTTAATCTTGCTTGTTGAAATTATTCTGTTAGCTATTACCTGGTGTAATAGTTCTTGTTTACTGAAAAATAATTTTCAACACTCCATAAATCTGTTTATTCTAAATTTCGGTTTTAAGCATAGCTAAGAAAGTAATTACTGTTACTGGAATTCACCTGATAAACTATGTATAATGTAATTCATTGCAATATCACATTAAATATCAGTTAAACATGTATTAATCATAAAGATTTTTGTTATTAGAAAAAGACCTTAAATGCTTGGCAACCAATTCTAATAAAATTTTTTTTTCTCTTTATAGGAGAGTTAATCTTGGTCTATCTGGTGTGAATATATTATGGATCTTTGGCGAGTAACAGGTCATGTATTTAATTCCAGACATTTGGACTTTTATTTCACTGAACCAGAAGTCAAAACTAAACATCTCTGAGCCACCGACTCTTCTGAAGTAAAATACACATGTGTGTATGTTACAGACTCTTTAGATTTAACGAAAAAGGTAGCAGTTATGGAATGTCATTGTAAAAATATGTCCTGTGTCTTCTATCTCAAGAGACATTACCTTTAATTTTATATTGCTTTTCAGAAATTTCAGGTGACTATAAAACTGCAACCCTTCAGATTTTTACTGACTCAAAACAGTGCCATTCCCCTTAATGAAATAGATTTTGAGGTTTTTTTCATTATAACCCCCAAATGAGAATCATCTACCTGATCCTTGTGCCACAAAAAATTTTTTTTCAATCTTTTTTTTTTTTTTGAGACAGGGTCTCTGTCACCCAGACTGGAGTACAGTGGCACGATCTTGGCTCACTGCAACTTCTGCCTCCCAGGCTCAAGCGATTCTCCTGCCTCAGCCTCCTGAGTAGCTGGGATTACAGGCACGCACCACCACACCCAGCTAATTTTTATATTTTTAGTAGAGACGGTTTCACCATGTTGGCCAGGCTGGTCCCGAACTCCTGACCTCAGGTGATCCAACCACCTTGGCCTACCAAAGTGCTGGGATTACAGGTGTGAGCCACTGCGGCCAGCCTCAGTTATTTTATTTAATAGTATAAGTACTTAGAAAGTAAGAAAATTGCTGATTTAGTTTTGTTTTGTTTTGTTTTGTTTTGTTTTTTAATGTTTCCCCAGCGTTCTGCAAGTTAGGCCAAAGCCCACATTCAAAGAAATGAGATTAACTCTTAAGTAATGTGTTAAGTTTACATATATTTTAAAATATTATTAAAGGAGGTTTGACAGTATTGACATTTAAAAAGTCAACACTTGGATTAACTTTAGCTGGTAGTATTAATTTGGGTTTTAGTTAAGAGTCTGAGGACATCAAGAAAACTGTTTACCACTTTGGTTTTAGCAGCTCAGTTTTACTATTCCATAATGTGTTATTTTTAAAGTTCTCTTTTTAAGATCACAGTGATATCCTGTTTAAATTTTTAAAATATGTTCAAAATATCTGGAGAGAAGTTACCAAGTTTGTATGTTTTGTTTGACTCACCATCTTTATTTTCTGTATGTATATGTAGTAACTGGCAATTGCGTATATTTTCTTGATTAACATATTAGAGACTGCTTCCATCATCTTATGTAAACCTGGAAACAGCTGAAACTAGTCTTTTCTGAAGGAACTGTATGTCAGTATTACTAGATGTGCATCCCATTTTGTCATTGCCTCAGACTTTGAATATAGTCATTACTCTCTGGAAGAGAAGTATAATTATTTTCTTTTTTTGTTATATGCAGTATGGTTTAAGATCTAGTAATAATACACATATGTAAACTCACTAAAGTATCACCAGTAATTAGTAAATTCCAAATTCAAGTCAGTACAGTTCTGTCTTTGTAAATTCTGTCTTTCAAAAAGTTGTTCGTGTTTTTAAAAGTTGATGTCCAAAGGAAAAGAGCTTCTTATCTTTTAAGTACTTTCGGTGTATGTTAAATATTTATTTGCTATGATATTCTAGAAGAAAATATCAAACATGTTAAATATAAGAACATGTTAAAATTTAAATTTGCTATTTCAAAAGTTACTGAAGATGTCTTGGAATAACAGTTGTTATGCTGTTAAACTATATAGTTGCATACACTTTATTAAAAGCACTATGGAGAAAAATTTTAACAATGCATAAGACAAAAGGTCTTTTTTTCTTTATAGGACTTAGCTTTTAGTCTAAAAATTCAAAGCAATAATATTTTATTTTTAAAGTGACTAAAAAAATACAGTCTACAATAAATATATACATAGGGATACACACTTAAAAAGATGTTTTGTTTGCAT